TTATTTGGAATCATCCCTTTTTCCAATTAGCTTGTAAAATTACTCGTTTTTACTCGACTTTTATGAAAGTTGGCTATGGGGTAATAATCCTTTATTCGAATTTGAGATTAAAAATAGAAAAATTAAAAGAGTAAATTCATAAATATGCAGATAAAAATAAAATATAATATGGTTATTATAAAATTCAATTTTAGGGAATATTTGTGATTGCAAAGTAACATCAAGTTTCCAGTTTTGCTTTATTTGAAGCTTATCAATGTTATGCAAACAGTTAGTATTAATTTTCAAACTGACTTCCAAACTTTATGAGCTCCGTGACATCGAGATTCTCCATCAGAGATTACAACCCTTTTGAAATTCGACATTTTCAGGTTACATTTAAAGTTAGCGATATCACGAATTTCTACAACCAAGTTTCATGATAATCAAATCATTATTTTTTTTATTTTTCATTTGAATTTTAGAATTTTAAGACCAGAATCGAATACAACGACCCTTAAAAAATAAGATGTTCTTTAAATTTTTTTTATTAAAAAGCTTCTATCTTGAAAGGATTTTAATTCCACAATATTTTAAAATTCTATGAAGTCTAGTCTTAAAGTCTCTCGTTTACTTAACTGTATATAAGAATAACTAGAGAATATAATTTCTCTCTCTCCCTATCTTTTTCTTTCTTTTAAAAAAATAATATTGCTACATCATTACAGACAGATATTTCAAAACATTATGAAGAAAGAAAGAACTCGCAAAGAACTCGAAATTTTTTAATATAAGCTAGATAAAGTAGGAATGATTTATTAGAAACAAATTATTTTATGCAAACGCCGTATTTAATATTTTATAAAACTGCAGATCCTAACGTTTATATCATCATTAATTTTGTCTTTCTTTTTTTCAATTTTTCAGAGCATGTCGTCCTTACGAACGCAGTCGACCGGCGGCGGCGGTGTTCTCGGTTTGAGCAGCGTCGGTTCCGATCGTACAGGCGCGGCTTCGACCGCCGCCGGTTCCCACTCGCATTCCCACTCGCACAGGAAGCATCATCATCACCACAGGAGCAGAAGCGCGCCCCGAGCACCAGAGAAACCGCCCAGAAAGCGTCACCTAAATCCCGGACAGAGTCTTGCCTCTATTCCCAGTCAGATTAAGCTGTCTATGCTGAACAGCGGCCTCATCTCCTTCGGTGAGATAACTCGCGATCTCGTTTTCCTTAATGAATCATCCCGGCTTCGATTGTTAGATTAATCTTAGATTAATCTCAGATAATACTAACGATTAAAAACGCCTTAAACGGGTATCTAAAGAGATGCGTCTTCTGATTTTTCTGATTTTACTTCTTCTCTTTCCGTTATTAGAATTTAATCGCGATTCAAATGCATTACATGAATGAATTATTATTATGTACACGGAAAAATTTTGCTGAAGTATCTAAAAAATTTAGCTAGATATAGAAAATAATATTTTGTTGTGTCATTAAAATAATGTAGAACGCTCAGAACTGGTTGCTAAAAAATGTCAAATCTTTTTCAGCATTGCTTGAGATTTCTACATAATTTTTGATGATCTAATAAAATTATTTTCGGATTTTTATCTAACTAAATTTTTAGATACTAAATAAACTCGTTCTTTCTGTGTAAACAACAAAATTTACACAGCGTACGAGCTTGAAGCTTGGTTAGAAAATAATCGGGGTAATTCCAATCCAATTACAATGTTATCTTACGACCGTTTGAAAAATGAAAAACCTAAATCCGATTTGCGACGTCGAATGATATCCATACTAACCGTAATGAATTATTGACACAACCGAGACGAGTATTGATTACATGTGCTTTATATATTTTTTTATATCGACATGTTAGATTCATATTTACTCTTTCAGCTATGATCGTCATGAATACAATAAAGCTACAAACAAAATGAATATTTCATCGCAATCAAACGAAATGTATTATCTTTGTAAATACGAGACACACCGTTGTGCACTGAAATTCCGCAAGTTTCCGCATCAGTATCGTAAATGCATTTTCTATTAAGAAAATAAATTTTATGCATTCAGGTCACGGAATTTGAAGACCCCACTTAACGACTGCGCAATTGACACTTGGTAAAGAACATCAAGCGCATAATTCGATAAATCTGAACGCTTTCTCAAGGCCTTTCGAAGCATAGAAGCTTTTAGCATCGAATTGATTGCCTTTTTTTCTCGATGTCATTTTAAAAACATTTCTTTTTTGCAACTCGAATTAAAAGAAAGCTCGATTTCTTTATTTTTATATTTTTGATTTTAAATCCCGGTAATGAGCGATTAATGCGATTAACGTACATCACTTGAAGTATACGACTAATTTTTTAATTGCTTTTCGTTTTTATTTTTCTCTAATTCTTACAAACCAAGAAAACCGAAGCTTCTATACGGCATGTTTTCGTAGACTTTTGACTGTGCTCAAGATTCTTGAGAGGAAACGCAAAGTGTTCTAAATATTCTCGAAACTCTTGAGACCTTCGAGATCGCACTGAGACTTAAGGTAGTTTTGAAGAGATAGAGGTTGAAAAGGCGTTCTGAAAATTCTCGTAAGTCTGGGAGAGTTGTAATGCATTTTGCGACACGCTCGAGATCACCATAAATATATAAGCTCAAATTTTGGATCGCTCGAGGATATTTTTAAAATGCTTGGGAATATTTTTGAAAAGAAATGAGATTATGATGATGATATATTATTTTAAGAAAATTCTCTTTTGCATTATACTAACATCTCGCTGGATATTAGAACACACTTCGCTATTTTCACGTGGAATGAATTACGGTATCTGAACGAATCTATTAATTCATAAAGCTTCAATACGTAAACATCGGTAATTCTAACTCTCGCATGCCGCTTCTTGATCTATATATATCTGTAATGAGAATTAGAGATATCAGAGTAGTCCCGAATTCCATAACGAATATGGAATGCAACATTGGGTAGCGAAACTTTTGCACAATAAACGCATTTTTCGCCATTGTTACACATTATCTAAAAACTTCCATGCATCAAACAAATTATTGAATAACATTGAAAAGAAAGTAATAATAATGCAGCAGAAATTTTTAATATTAACAGATTAATTGATCAAAGGCAAGACGTATAATATTCAACAACGTAAATATTCGTGATGTAATTTTGATTAATGCAATTTTGTTTTTCGAATTACGCGGTTATTTCTAGGAGAAGCAGAACACTGACTTTTTAGAATAACATCATTAATGAATCTTATAGACAATTCGTTATGTACAGAAAAGTAGCCTATATGAGGATACATTATATTCCAGTAGTGTCTTTAGAGAACGAATCATATTGCAAATTTCATTCGTAATGAGATCAAGAGATTGTTTATCCTCAGGTGTAATGTACAAATGATATGCGCCTTGACATCTGTCATCGTCAAGAAATCAATTAGCTCGCCCATGATAGCGCTTTTACGGGTCATTAAGCCGGCCCAGTTCACACTCATAATATCATCACGGAAAAATAAAGAGTTGCAAAAAATAAAGTTACGTTTCCAGTGGCGAATTATTAATTTTCTCATTTTTATCGCGAAGAACGCTTACGTGTATTTTTTTCAATGGATAAGCATTTCCCTTTGTCGATGCTCGTTGAATGGCGTTGTCATTTTATTCGAAAGCATATATCCGAGTAGACAATGTAACCCAGACACGTTAATCATTGCCTGAGACAATGACACTGCCAGTTATACATTCCCCATTGTACCGCGCACCTTGACGGGCGTTTTTCTTTCTTTTTTTCTGCTTTCACACGCAGATTGTCTTGGTAAAAGATGGTCTCCTTAATGAAAGTAGTTCGGGGGGGGGGGGGTGAAATGAAACAAAAAAGTTATAAATAACGTCGAAAATGCATATTGTATAGACTGAACTAGCCACCGTTCCGAATTCCACCGTTCGAGATGCACTCGCGTGACTTAAAATGCCGATGCGTTTCCTACAATTTTGAAGAAGATTGTAGAGGAAACGAAATAAATCTCTCGTATCAGTTTTATTTTCAGAGATATGAAAACGCCCTTGAGCATTATAAATGGCCTCATGCATTTTTACAGCCTTGTAATGAAAACTTTTCTCAAGGGGCGAGCGAAAATGTTGAAATCGTATGACACGTGCGACATTCCATTTTATATCGTAAGGGGGACAGATATTTCTGATTAAATCGGGAATCTCGTTCTGTAAGACAGCGCGTTAATCCATCGCAGCTTAAATTGAAGGATTTATAGTGATTTCATCTTTATTAATTGCAATTTAAGTTAAATATTTAAACATCACCAATATTGGCTTTACCTTTGATAAATTAGAATTGTATTGTGTACTATTCACAAACTGATATGATTTGTAATAATTCTTTACGTACACGTATTAATAGATATCAAAATAGGTAACACAATCTCTCAAATTAAAAAATATAACATTTTGTTATTTTTAGTTTCCATGTATGTCAAAATATAAATCAATTCATTTCTGTGGATTAGATTTTAAAGTAAACAACGTCCATATTAACGTATGCATTTAGCAAATAACAGACTGAATTTGAGTCAATACCTTGGCAATCTATAGAAATGATTAAAAACAATTCAAATTGGGTATAATTTGATATTACAAATTCAATAATCTATCTTGTCCAGTGCTGAAAAAAAATGATGGAAAACTATGATTAATAAATTATATTTTTCAAATTTAAATAAAATATACGAATTAATGAAAAAAACTAATGCTGACGATATTTAATAAAACAAAAACAAATTCTCTAATATAATTCCGTTTATCGGGATTAGTTTGTCGGGCTTGGCTTTAATTCGTGAATTTATTCGGGAGGAAAGAAACGGGGATGTTGCGAGCAGCGGTCTATTGGATATTTTTAAACCGACGCATGTGAGATACACTAGCTGCATAAACGTTTAGTCCACACCGTGATGATGCTGTCACACAGGCGAACAAAGTTAGTTGATCTTGACACAAATGCAGGCGACCCACTGCCACGATCGTTGCTCCTTACGTCGTGTCGTAGTGATGGGGTTTCGCAATGAAAATAAAGCAACGCTTTTCCGTGCTGATTCATCCGGACCTACGTCCGTGAACCGGATACGGAGTGCAAGCCATGAGAACTGCCACATTGCATGATGACGGCAACGACGACGACGACGTTGGAATTTGCCGGAGTACTCGACCTCTCGGTTGTTATGAACGTTTCAACATGCACGCAGTTTTCGAACGAATCATTTATTCTGACAAAACTTTTTTCCCGCCAAAATTCTCAACATCCAGATGAAAAAATTTTTAACGAGAAAAAATTGTTTAGCAAAAAAACTTGAATCAACAAAAAACATGTGTACATTTTAACACGAAAAAGCTTGATAATAATTTTCAAATCAAAATTAATATAGGAACTACGTATAGTTAATGAACAACAGATTAATAATTGCGTTATAGATAAGTTAGTGAAAATGATTGATTAATTATTATTGGATTAGATGGAACATTAAAGAAATGATTTATCAACAAACAATTTCAGGATACTGATGCGGTCAATGCGACTAAATTGAATCTAACATGATTACGAGTATCGAATGCAGTATCAACAGCACATAAACAAGCAGAGATGCGTATTATACGGTAGAACGATAGCTAACACAAAGTAAGCGATACGCGCAGTGCATGCAATAAATAAAACCACAATTTTATTTGCATATCCACTTAAACAGGAGTTTATTCAAATAAATACTCGGTCTACATTCGAAGACTATTAACCTATTTTTTTCCAATGAGATATCTCGAAAACAAGCCCACGGGCTACCTGCGAATGACAGAAGGAGGAAAAACGTCATGTGTAACCAATTACTTTTCGCCAGAATGACAATATTTGAAATATGAAAAATGTGAAAGTGCAAAATATGTTTCACCAATCCAATGTTTATATCTATATTAATTTCCCAATATTTCACAATTTGAAACATTTTAAAATCTCTTTTTTGATTGCTTTTGTCAGAATAAATATATAATTTAGAATGATCGTTTATGCCATGTATATGCATCTATTTGATGAAATACAATTTTTGTATTTCAATACGTCATATTATTTTATTATCTAAAAACCTTTTTATTATAATTTCCTTCTATTATATTTGACAAAATTATTT